TTTAACAGTATCATCTAATAAGAGGCAAATATATATGAAAAAATTAAAAAAGGCTATCTTTGTATCTGATGATAATTCAAGTCACATCAGCCTAATTATTTATTAATATTATTTTTTACATACAATTACCCATTTATACAGTTGGGTTTTTACTGGAGCAATCTAGGTAAAGTACCTTGCTCAAGGGTACAGCAGCAGTGTCCCCCCCACCTGGGATTGAACCCACGACCCTCCGGTCAAGAGTCCAGAGCCCCTTGTGCTCCGTCTTTTCGGGTGAGACGTAATTGTAAGTGACTCTGCAGCTGATGCATAGTTCACACACCCTAGTCTCTGTAAGTCGCCTTGGATAAAGGTCTGCTAAATAAACAAATAATAAGGGCCCTTCCTTCCCACCGAGATGGGGGCAGGACCTTTCTGAGCGAGGCCGAGAAGCCCGGGATTTTTTCCTCAGAGGTCTGGTTCGAGCCTGGGAGGACCGGGAAAAAAAAAAAATACAATGTGTCCTTTCCCCGGAGCTGAAACGGCATTCGCTGGCGACTCTGCGGTCTGTGCATGCTTTTGCTTTTTGTCGGTTCCGGGATGTGCTGCCGCAACTGTGACGTGCTACCCACCTCCTTCAGAAGCCGCCGAGCCATCCTTTCGCGGGTGGAATCCCCGCAGTTAGTTTTAACACTGGCTTTTCTCCCCACTCCATGGTCGGACACTCCATCCGAACGTGCGGGCTGGCGGTTGGGTCTGGGTTGATCTCTCCTCCTTTTTCCACCCTGGGGGATGCGGAAGGCGCGGCTACCTGGTTGATCCTGCCAGTAGCATATGCTTGTCTCAAAGATTAAGCCATGCATGGATAATAACATACCATTTGTACAGTGAAACTGCGAAAGGCTCATTAAATCAGTTATGGTTCCTTTGATCGCTCCAATGTTACTTGATAATTGTGGTAATTCTAGAAAAAATACATGCTGACGAGATTCTGACCTCCGGGATGCGCATTTATCAGACCAAAACTTAACCGGGCTTGCCCCGCCGCTTTGGTGACTCCAGGATAACCTGTGCCGATCCGACGTCCCTGTGGCGGCGATGAATCATTCGAATGTCTGCCCCTATCAACACTTCGATGGTACTTTCTGTGCCTACCATGGTGATAACGGGTAACGGGGAATCAGGGTTCGATTCCGGAGAGGGAGCCTGAGAAACGGCTACCACATGATAAGCGAAGGCAGCAGGCGCCAAGAATTACCCACTCCCGCACGGGAGGTAGTGACGAAAATCAACAATACAGGACTCTTTCGAGGCCCTGTAATTGAATGAGTACACTTTAAACTTTAACGAGGATCCATTGAGGGCAAGTCTGGTGCCAGCAGAGCGGTAATTCCAGCTCCAATAGCGATATTAAAGTTGCTGCAGTTAAAAAGAACAGAGTTGATCTTGGGATCGAGCTGGCGGTCCGCCGCGAGGCGAGCCACCGACTGTCTCAGCCCCTGTACCGGGCGAACCGATGCTATTAACTGAGTAATTGCGGGTCCGGGGTTTACTTTGAAAAAAAATTTGAGTGTTCAAAGCAGGCTACCGCCTGAATACTTCAGCTAGGAATAATGGAATAGGACTGGTTCTATTTTGTGGGTTTCCTGAATGGGGCCATGATTAAGAGGGACGGCCGGGGCATTCAGTTGTGCATTTAGAGGTGAAATTTGGACCGGTGCAAGACGAACTAAAGCGAAAAAGCATTTGTAAGAATGTTTTCATTAATCAAGAACTTAAAGTCGGAGGTTCAAGACGCATCAGATACCGTCAAAGTTCCGAACATAAACGATGCTAACTGATGATCCGGCGCGCGTTATTCCCATGACCCGCCGAGCAGCCTCCGGGAAACCAAAGTGTTTGGGTTCCGGGGAGTATTGTTGCAAAGCTGAAACTTAAAGGAATTGACGGAAGGGCACCACCAGGGAGGAGCCTGCGGCTTAATTTGACTCAACACGGAAATTCACCCGGCCCGGACACGGAAAGGATTGACAGATTGATTTTTAAATTCTATTCTGTGGGTGGTGGTGCATGGCCGTTTTAGTTGGTGGAGCGATTTGTCTGGTTAATTCCGATAACGAACGAGACCCGCATGCTAATCAGTTATGCGACAATGCGGTCGGTGTCCAACTTATAGAGGGACTGGTATGCTCAGCCACACGAGATTGAGCAATAACAGGTCTGTGATGCCCTTAGATGTCCGGGGCTGCACGCGCGCTACACTGAATGGATCAGCGCAGGTTCTTTAATTTCTGCCGACAGGCGGGTTTGTTTTTGAACCCCATGGATATTAGGGATCGGGATTGAAATTCTTTTCCCATGAACGAGGAATTCCCAGTAAGTGCGGGTCATAAGCTCTTTTTTGATTAAGTCCCTGCCCTTTGTACACACCCGCCCGCCGCTACTACCGATTGGATGGTTTAGTGAGGTCTCGGATCGGTGTTTCGCTGTGTCGTTTATGCCCTGGCGGAATACCGAGAAGACTTCAAACTTGACTATCTAGGAGGAAGTAAAAGTTTGAATAAGGTTTCAGTAGGTGAATTTGCGGAAGGATCATTAACGGTAATTGCAGATCGGGAGAATTATACACAACCCGGCTCGTCCTGATGTCTGCTGACCCCTGCACCCGCTCTGCCCGGGATGTCGGGGGCGCGAGCAGAAGGGTGTATTTGGAGCGCCTGCGGTCAGTTTTTGCGTGCATCCCGGCCGGGCCCTGCGCTCTGGCGCCACAGGGTCTCGACTGCTGAATGCTCAAGGCCGGCACCCCTCGGCCCGGCCGCGGGAGACGGGTTTTGTCATTCTCCTGTTATTCTTCAGCCAACCGTCCCGCAGTGGCCCTTCTAATCCGTCGCGTCCCATCGAGGGACGAGCGCGGCGGGTGAGGGCAGCGGGTCTGGCAGTGGCTCTGGAACTTGGTTGCTCGACGCCCCCCGGCCGCCGAAACATCCCCCTGAATCGAGACGGCCGTCGATTCAGGCGCGGGCGGCCCCCTGAGGACCAGTTCGGGGCCTGACGGCTTGGGTTTCGATCATTGTCCTCTGTTCTGTCCGGTACCTGTCGCCCGGGCGGAAGGTCTAACGACTCGGTGGCTTCCACGCACCTTCTTGCCGCGGTTAGTGCGGCGGGGCTGGAGCGCAGGTTGCTTGCCCCGTACCGCGCAAATCCTGTGGACCTGCTCCTCCGAGCGCCCCGCCGACACTTGTCTGTTGGTTTCGACTGTTTGCCTGGCTTGTCGGGCGCAAACCAGCGCGGGCTGGTTTCAAGCGCCAACAAAAACACAGAAATGACTACCTTGGCGGTGGATCACTTGGCCTCACGCGTCGATGAAGAAAAAGCAATAGCTGGCGAATTAAGTGAATTGCAGGACACATTGATCATCGACACTTTGAAACCTGTGCCCCGGTTCACCCGCCACGCCTGTCTGAGGGTCGCCACAATCAATCGCCTGCTGGGGCAGGGTCTCCGACCCTGCTTTTTGCGGTGCGGGCGCGGCTGTTTTTGCCGCAGGGGACTCAAACCCTTCGCCCCCTAAAAGCAGACCCGGAGGAACCCACATGGGAAATCGGCGCGCACGGTGGCGAAACGCCTTCGCCGCTGCCTGGGACCCGGGTAGGAACGGAGGTGGGCCATGTTTTGTCAGTGGAGACACGGCCAGCGTCGCCGACGCCCACCAAGCCACCTTGGTGGTCTTCGCGTTGTCCCCCTGACCACATCCTTGTCGGGCCAACGGAACTTTGCAGGTCGCCGAGCTGGCCGTCCCTGCTTTCTCTCCACCGGAGAAGGTGGGCTGTCTGTGCCTGGTTTGTCTGTCTCTGCCCCTCCTTCCTTCTCGGTTGGGGTTAGGGTACGGAAGAAGGGCCAGCCTCCGAATACATGTTCAGATCAGACGAAATCAACCCAATGAATTTACATATTACTAAGCGGAGGAAAAGAAAGTAACCAGGATTCCTCAGTAACGGCGATGTGAACAGGGAAGAGCCCAGGGAATCCCCGTTTGTCCCACTGGAAATGTGGCGTATAGAAGATTATAACCCTGGGCCGATCGGGTCCCAAGTCCTTCTGATCGAGGCTCATCCCATCGGACGGTGTGAGGCCGGTAGGCCCCGTCGCGCCGCCGTCAGGTCTTGCATGGAGTCGGGTTGTTAAATGAATGCAGCCCAAAGCAGGTGGTAAACCCATCTAAGGCAAACACCGCATGAGACCGATAGCCAACAAGCACCGTGAAGGGAAAACTGAAAAGAACTTTAAAGAGAGAGTTCAAGAGGTTGGAAACCGTTAAGAGGTAAACGGATGGGGTCCGGGCGTAGTCCGTCCGGAGGATTCAACCCGGCGGGTTAAAGGTCGGTTGTCCACGGGTCTGGCGGATCTCCTTCGGGACCGTGTTCCCGGTCGGCTTCGCCCCCGTCGGGCGCATTCGCGGTGGTGGCTCCACCGCTCTGGTTCTGCTTGAAACGCCTGGGTGGAAGGTGTCGCCGCCGGCGCACAAGTCTTAGCGCAACAGTGCCGTTATTATATGTTTTTCCGGGGCCGTTTTTAAATGACTGAAAATGCATGTTGAATCTCAGTTTGGGAGCACGAACAACCTCGGCGCGACTGTCGATCTATCTGACTGTCTATGCTCTATCTCTCTAATCGCCGGGCGGGGTGCGCCACACGCCAGGCGCCAGGGTCGGCGGCGCGTCTCCTTACTCCATCCGACCCGTCTTGAAACACGGACCAAGGAGTCTAACACGCGCGCGAGTCAGCGACTCTTCTGAAACCCCGTGGCGCAATGACCGAGGGCTGCGTTGTTTGATGGGATCCCGCCGTTTTGCGGCGGGCGCACCACGGCCCGGACCCCACCCGCAGCGTGTTTATTTTGTTTGTGATAGGACCCGAAAGATGGTGAACTATGCCTGTTAGGGCGAAGCCAGAGGAAACCTGGTGGAGGTTTTTTTTTTTTGACGCGGTAAATCGTTCGTCCGACCGGGTATAGGACAGAAGGCTGTGTGGTCAGTGGTTAAAAAAAGGGCTTGTAACCAGGAGGTCCCGGTTCAAATCCCACCTCAGCCA